GACGTGGTCCTCGGCAGTGGGCGCTCGGCATAGTGCTCGGCACTAGCGTGGGTGCTCGGCGTTATGCGGCGCATGGTATCGCGATGATCCTACAAGGTGTAAATTGACTTAAAAACACTGTACTGTACCGCGGGGGTTCCGCTCGCTCTGCTCGATCGCTCTTCTTCCCTCGCTACGCTCGCTCCGCTACGCTCGCAGGCATCAGCCTGCCTCCTTCCTTTGTCAATATACAAGCCATACCAACACATTCCTTACAACAAGTTCAACTTGTCTAAGGAATGGGGGGGCTAGATGATATGGTCGTTAGTAGTGGCTCGTGAGGAACCGGTTGTGATCCGGTCAATCATTGTCAATATGAAGGGGACCGGTTAAGCATTATAGTAGTCGGCGGTTGGGAGTGCTCGGCGTCTCACGGTGTTCGGTGCCCCTCAAGTGCTCGGCATTGGAGGTGGTCGGGATGAAGTGTCTGGCGCGTCATTAACCGGTATGATGAGTGCTCGGCGTGGGGTGAATGTTCGGCGTAGGAGAGTGCTCGGCCAAGGGAGGTGCCCGGCGGCCCTCGTACGCTCGGCGGCCCTCGTGTGTTCGGCGGCCCTCGTATGCCGACGAAGGGGCTAGAACCTGAAGATGGCTTCAGGATCAAGTTACGAGGAGGTTGATAGCAACAGGGACTCTAGAAATTCAAGAGACCCTTAACCTAATTAAGAGGTTTATTCGAAGAAGACTTCTTATCCCACTGGGATTCTCCAAATTTCTCCTATAAAAGGGAGTAGGTTCATTCATTTTACACAACACACATTCACGAACTATCTTGTTACTCTGCCGTTTTCTCTCTAGACCATCACTGACTTGAGCGTCGGAGTGTTCGCGCCGGGACCACCCCCGGCGTGCTTTGCAGGTACCGACGATCAAGGAGACGCAACTCGATTCGAGAGGAGCGGTCCAGCGGTTCGAGTATTTGTGGTATAACAGTGATCACCACCAGAAGACCAAGCTTTAAAGCAGCAACTCAACTCTCCAAATGCTCCACCATCCTCGCCCTTCGATGACACCGTTTCACCCCCTTTATCACCACCACTGACCCTCCCTTTTGTGCAACCTCTTTCCCGCTAACCTTACTACATGGCGTCATTGCTGTCAATAATAACAGCTTCTCCAGACGGCACCGTGCCCCCACAGACACTGATATCGTCATCGTTGTTACCACACAATTCACCTTCATTCGCGCCGAACCAAACGTGATTGAAATCGCTCCTGAAAACAACACGTGCATTAATAGAAAATCGTGATTAGACAAACTATGAAGAAAATTTTGATTAACTACAATTAAGTTACAACGATATCCTAAGAACAACATAATCAGCCACATTTGATTTTTGGATATAATAAATTTTTCTGCATCAATGCGACTCAAGGGATAACTGTAGATACCATCTGCTGCAAATTTAGAATTGTTAATGTACCTAAATTAACAAATTTTCAGGCAACCAGAAATCAGATTACTCTCGTCTCAACATTATATTTGTTTACACATTAACATACGCCAAAAACATGAACAAAAATTATCAGCTTCCATTAGCAATAAACAAAAGAACGGAATTGGCCCAGAAATATTATCCATAATCCATACACAAATGAAACCACCCAAAAAAGTGCCGAGATTACCACAAAAGCATGAAACACAGTCTGACTTTGTCAAGGTTTCCACGGCTTCGCCATCTCAGCATAATAAAAGTACGCAAAAACTTCCGACCACTCAGTCTCATCTACGCCACCTTTTGTGGTTGTAATCCCTCCAGAAATACTCCTCAACAGCCTCCATTTCTACTCTTGCCACCTACTTTTTCCTAAATCAAAAGAGGAAAAGAGGAAATAAAGATCAATAAAGATTACTACTAAAATCAAGAATTCGAAAAAATTATGCAGATGTATTTACCTTAACATAAGCACCACCTCATAAAGTCATTAAAAGCAACACAACAGTCACTACCAAATGCGAAATCGAAGGTCGTCGCTCTTAGTGTGAGTATTCCAGATGTCCATTTCGTCCCCATCTGTTCGTGATTAACCTGACGGTGATGGGTGCCGGTGGAGGGCTGGCCGACTATAGTTGTGACAAAAGATTTCCAATATTGAAATTTTGGTTTAAGGGCGGAAAATTCAGCCCCTTCTCGCCCGCGACTTCTTTCTTTGTTTTATTTCCTTTTTTTTTCTTGGGCTAGGGTTTTGTGAGAAAAGAGTAGGGAGATTTGAGGAGAAATATGCTTACCCGTTCAATTGGGCTACAATCGGAGAACACCGTAGGGCGCGTGGGTTCGCCGGAGCGTCGAAGTAGACGTTAAAGGGGAGGAAAATGCGATCGTCAACATTGATGGACCATGGATTTGGTTTTGACGCGGATGAGAGTGAAAGAGGTGAAATCGCTCGATCGCTCTG